ATTTACGAATTCCGATTGGTCATTTTCTATGCGCCACGTCACGTTACTGCAAAAGTGTCTAGACCCCTGGCGGGGCTTTAATGTCTTGCCTCTTCAATGGGAACGATTTAAAGCTGACTTCATAGTAGTTGACATGTACAATTGCGCATTGCTGCAAGTTAAATGCTTTAGTATAAGCGACAAAAGGATAATCAACTTGTCTTTTCACTTTGATGCGGTTAGAGTCTAATTTTTTTAATTGTTTTAATTTATTTAAACAGGCTTAATGACTGCTTTCACTAAACTACAAGTTATGAATACTCACGGTTAATAATTATCACCTGAAAATTAGTAATACAATATGATCTTAGAACTACTTCCCAAGATGGTATAAGCACTGATTGAATTTGTTAGAAGTAAAATGTTGGGTGGATTTTGAAATCTGGTAATCAATATGGTATAGAGACTTATAAGAACAAAGGAGTGCATTTATAAATATATATAGCATTTAAATTGGGTTGAGTGCTGTAATCCCGATGGATAATATGACTTTAGAAATATTTGAACCCTTTTTGTAAGCAATATTTTTTTAATGGATAAATAATTCAAAAGAGTATAAGCCTTTAAAGATAAAAAAATCTTTGTAGTAGCATCTAATAATAATGAAAAAATAGTATTGACAAATATATACTATTGTATTATCTGAATTTTAATTTTTATTAATTAATTTTAAATTTTTTTAAAGCATTTTTTTTTATTTTTCTGGCAATTTTATTATTTTTAATTTTTTTTTAGGCAATATTTAACACTTAAGGAACACACCTTTTTTTGATATTTTCACACCCACATAAATCACTCCTGCACTTATACTGTATCTCGACAATCACCCAATGAAATTCGATGTGCTTTTTCTTATTTGAATTCAAAGAATTCAAAGAATTCATAGAATTTAAATAAAAAAGTTTACCGGATTTCATCAGGTGATTGTCGAAGCCTATCATATCAAAATGTAAGCCGCAGCAAATTTTCTTATGACTTCGATCGAAGGTATCTCGACAACCCAATGAAGTTCAATTAAATTCTACGTAAAAAAAAATGCTATACCTTTTTAAAAAAAATAAAAATAATTAAATAATTCGCAATATTTGTTTTTGTCTTAAAACAACGTGGTTAAAAATTTAAATTAATACTGATGGTGTAGTGGCCTTTTAAAGTTTGACCATTTTATAAAAAAGTTAAGCATGTTCCTTTTTTGACCAGTCATTTTTAAAAAACATGATATTTTAGGTTAAATGATAATCTATTTCTGATTTATTCCGATGTTATACAATTGAAAAAAGGTATAAAAAAGTAAACAAAAAATCACGTAATTAGAAATTTAGCCGAAACTTCAAATAAAAAAAGTTTCGAGTGGTTGTCGAGGCATTTTTGATAAAAGTTTTAGAAAATTGAAAAAGACAAAATTTTTTATGATTTTGAAGGTATCTCGACAACCACCTGATAAAATTCGTTGAATTTTTTATTTGAATTCTATGAATCCATAGAATTCAAATAAAATAAAAAAAAGTTCGGGTAGCTGTCAAGACATCAATGAAAGTTTCAGAAAAATTTCAAGATGTGAGCCGCGATAAAATTTTTTGTACCATTTTTTGATCAAAGATATCTCGATGAAATTCGATGAACTTTTTTTTCATTTGAATTCATGGATTCTTAGAATTAAAAACGAATTTCATCAAAAAAATATTAAAAATATTAAGGATTTTTAATGATAATATTGCATAAGGCATTATGAAAATGTGGCATGGCACTATGGCAATTACGATTATGGCATTACAGCATTCAAGATTTGATTATTACATATGCCCAGTAGTACTGTAATGATGTAATGCCGTAATTCTATGACGGATATAACTTTGATGGTTATAACCGAAACTCTTTTGACGCAAGAATATCTTCAAATTCTACGTAGTTGAATGAATAAAACTACGCTTATGTTTAACCAATTAGCAATAATAATTTCAATACCCAATCAAAACTGTAATCCGTTAATTAATATTAACAATATTTAATAACAATTATAACGATAACGATAATAGTTAAAACCAAATCTAATGTTTCTCAATCGAATAAATCTATTGTGCATACATATTGCACATATTACACATATTACCTGTTATATAATTTTCCTCCGTGAAGCCACAATCCGGTCAAGAATTTTACAAATGGCTGTGAATAAATGGCAATTTTTAGTATATAAAAAAAATCATTTTAAATAATAATATGCTTATCTTGTTATTACTGTATTATTCAGTTATTCTTGATTTAATGATCGAATTAGTTTGACCCGCAGATGCTGAATCAAACTCCGAAGATCGCTTATTTGGCTTGGCAACATAACTGTTTACGTTACATTCGAATCTATTTTCAAATTTTGACAGAAACACAAAAATCTTTTCTTAGTGGCAGTGTTACTAAATTCGGTGGCTTTGGCGTCACTACCGGAACTCTAAAAAAAGCATGAAAAATTCCATTGATTTTTCTTAGGGTATCTTTTCCCTGAATGACGAGAACTTTACTATTTTGTCAACTGATCTTTTTTCTTAAGTTGACAAATTTATTTTAAAAAAAAGCTTAAGAAATAGCTTAACCCTTATATAACGCGTTATTTTTTTCTTAAAAAAAAAAAAAAAAAAAAAACCATGGGTGAAGCAGAAACATTGGAAATTCCCATTACAAAGGTACAATGGGGTTTACGAGGAGCTCAAATTTTTTTTGCTTTTCTCTCAATGTGTTGCATAGCTGCCGAAATCGCTTGGGATAATAAGGTTTTGACTAATATGGGTAGTTCAATTTTTGCAAATCTCCACTTATTTATCATTGTCTTGTCGATGTTCGCAGCGGCCATTTGTGTTGCTGTTCCTTTTGTTTATCTAAATTATGGTAAACTTCAATCTGCATATAGAGCATTTAGATTACCCAGGATAGAATTTGTGCATACTGCAATATGGTCTATTCTTATACTTATAGTATCAATAGCATTGAGCGTAGAATTAGGTTTTAGGACTTGTGATCCCACTTCACCACACTGGTTTAGCGATAAGATAAATGCTACCGCTTTTAGAAATGAGACTACTTTTATCAATGGTTTAGCAGGCAATTGCAGAACTGCGCGTGCTGGTCTTGCATTCGGTTGGTTTGCACTTGGTGCTTGGTTAGCTTCTCTTGCTGTAGTAGGAAAGGAGTGGTATGATGGTAGACGTCAACCTTTACCCAAACACGATCAACATCGGGACGAAATTACTATGAACACTAATTCTTCACGTTCGTCATTTGAACCGGCTGGAACTCAACCACAATATCAAGAACAAGTTCAAATGCAGAATATAACTAGTCAACCTTATTCTCAACCTTATTCTCAACCTTATTCTCAACCTTATTCTCAGCCTTATTCTCAACAAGTGTCTTATAGCACACCTCAAGCAACTCATACACCGATGTCAGGAGTACTATCTCAACACGCCTCACCTATCATGACTCCACAAGGAATGCCTCTTCCTGAACCTCAACCAATGCCTACAGGTCCTACAGGTCCTGGTGTTGGATTTCCTCAACCTCAGCACTATCCTCCACCACAAGGATAATTCGTGTGATTGTTTATTAATTTTATTTTTTATTGCATATTTTTAATCACTTATGATAAGAAATAGCTTTCTTAATCAAAAGATAACGATAATTTGGACATTATATCATTTTACAGATGTTATTTTAGTGAAAAAAATATTTGTCTTCCTGTATTTGATATGATATATAAGAATATGTCTCTTGTATTATATTATATAGTTTAATATATATATATATATTTCGATATAAACGTTAAAATTGATCGTATTACTGTATATTACTGTATTAACGAACAAAAATCACATGATACCATGATGCTTTATCGTTACTTGATTGTCATTTCCTAAACGATAACTGATAACGATTCAAATCCTGGCCAATTATCTTTCTTTTTTTTAATTTAAAACCATGTCTCATTTACCACGTCGACCTCTTAACAGACCACCCGCCTACTATAAAATCAAACGACATCCTTTTGCCCTTTTTGGATTGCCACTTGTTATTTCAATTGTGGCTGGTTCATTTGCTCTTAGTCATTTGACACAAACTAGATATGAAGTTCATTCGAATAAAACTCGCAAGGTTTTCTTTATGCTTTTTTGTTTAGAATTTTTTTGTTTCAAAAAAAATCAACCAATCAATCACTTAAATTAAATTCAGGTTGAAAAAGAAGAATTGCTTCAAATGAATAAAGATAGACAATTACCCAATCTTCAGGAAGAATATTGGGTGTGTATCGATTACATATATTTACTGAATATTTATGTTAGAACAAAAATTTTGCTTAACCTTTGATATTTTTGATGATAAAAAAATTTTTGCCGGAATATTATTAGAAGTTACAATTAGATAAAGAACAACTTGATGATTGGGAAATCAAACGTGTTGAAAGAACCAAAGAACAATTTGACGGTGTTTTATAAAACTTATCGTTATTATATTACTGTAAAATTTTAACAGGTTTATAATAAACTTTATAAAATACTTTTTAAAGAGAGTACTCTTTTTCGGTTTATTTTATTATATTATATAATAAATATAATAAATGAAGAACTTTGTTAATACATAGTTACAATAAAGAATAAAGGATTTTGTACTTTGACTAACTTGTAACGATTAATAAAAGTCTGTATTCCATTCCTTTCGTAATTCCACCCAAACGGGCTTAACTTCTAGCTTAAGATAATGTAGCATCAGGGAAATTTTTTTAGTGCAGGTCTGCAATTTTCTGTGAAAATGCAGATTTTTGCAGAATTTTTAAATTCGATCTGCAAAAATGCAGATTTTTACAGATCTGTAAAAATCTGCAATTTTACTTATTTTCGCAGATTTTACAAATAATTAAAAGTTATTTTACGATGTCATAACAATTAGTGTTCTACAAAAGATCCGGGTCCGTTTGACGGACCGAGTTCGGAC